TACCACCAGTTAGAACTCCATCCAGATTCCAGAAGCATCACAACGTTCACTACACATTGTGGTCTTTACCAATACAAGCGCCTCATGTTTGGGATAAGTTCAGCTCCAGAAGTATACCAGCATGTCATCCAACAATCATTACAAGGCTGCGAAGGTGTTGCCAAAATCTCAGATGATATCATCATTCATGGGAAGAACACTGAGGAACACGACAGAAGATTGCAGCGAGTTTTGGAAAGGCTGAAAGAGAAGAACCTCAGACTGAATGCAGAGAAGTGTAAGTTCCATATGACCCAGACGGTCTTCATGGGACTAGTGATAAGCAACAATGGTATAGGTCCTGCTGAAGACAAGGTAAAGGCGATCGTTGATGCAAGAGAACCGCAAAGTGCATCAGAAGTCATAAGCTTTCTGGGGCTGGCAAATTACAATGCCCGTTTCATTCCGGACTTCGCTACAACCGCGGAGCCATTACAAAAGTTGACCAAAAAGGATGTTCGTTTCGAATTTGGAGAAGAGCAGAAGAATGCATTCAATGAGCTTAAGAGGAGACTATCAAGTGCAGATAATCTTGGCTATTTTGATAAGGATGCCAAGACACTAATCATAGAAGATGCAAGCCCGGTGGGCCTCCGTACGATCCTCATCCAAGAGCAGCAAGGCAGGAAAAGAGTCATTAGCTACGCAAGTAAGAGTTTAAGCATGGTGGAAAGGCGTTATTCGCAGAGAGAAAAAGAAGCTTTAGCTGTCATATGGGCATGTGAACGATTCCATGTGCACTTGTACAGCATTGAATTCACACTGTATACTGATGATAAGCCGCTGGAAACAATCTACTTGAGCAGGTCCAAACCGTGTGCACATATTGAAAGATGGATCCTGCGATTACAGCCATATAAATTCCAAGTCAAATACCTACCTGGCGAGCAAAATATTGCTGACCCATTGTCACGCTTGTTGCATGCGAATAGACAAGCAGAACCATCACTGGCGCACAAGGCGTCGGATGAATTTGTCAGGTTCGTTGCAGCAACCGCCACTCCTCAAGCGATGACAACATGTGAAATTGAAGAAGCCTCATCAGATGACAGAGAGTTTGTGGAACTGCGCCAGTACATCAAAGATGGAAACTGGAAAGGTGACCACCATAAGCAGTACGTACCAGTATGTAGCAAACTGTGTGTTATTGGCAAGCTAATCCTTCGTGGTACCACGATTGTCATACCGAGCAAGCTGACACCTTGAGTATTGAACCTTGCCTGTGAAGGACACCCAGGAATTGTCAGTATGAAGCAGAGGTTGCGATCAAAAGTCTGGTGGTCTGGAATCGACAGGGAAGCCGAGAAGTTTTGCAAAACTTGTTATGGCTGTTAGCTTGTAAGCAGCCAAACAAACCCAGAGCCAATCAAGTCAACACCATTACCAAGTGGCCCCTGGCAAGATTTGGCCATTGACCTGTTAGGCCCTTTACCCTCAGGAGAATCTGTCTTAGTCATCATTGATTACTTCTGCAGATACTATGAAATAGAAGTCATGAATTCCACAACGTCAGAAAAAGTCACAGTGTTTGGAGAAAATCTTCACCACACATGGACTACCTCAGTCACTCAGAAGTGACAACAGTCCACAATTCAGATCTGAAGTGTTTGAACAGTATTTAGAGGATAACGGTATAGAACACAGGAAGACCACGCCACTATAGCCACAAGCGAATGGCGAAGTGGAAAGACAAAACAGGTCCCTCCTCAAGAGGATGAAAATAGCTCAAGCTGAGGGGAAAGAATGGAAGACAGAAGTGCACAAGTACTTGGTAGCATATAGGTCAACCCCTCACACTACCACAGGTGTGAGCCCAGCGGAACTCTTGTTTGGCAGAAAGATGCGTACTAAATTACCCGAACAGAAAGAGGAGAGCACAGAGAGCGAGATACGAGACAGAGATGGCAAAATGAAAGCCAAAACCAAATGGTATGCAGACAAGAAGAGGAATGCCCACAAGTCTTACCTAGCTCCAGGTGATCAAGTGTTAGTCAAACAAGAGCGTAAAATAAATTATCAACATCATTTGCTCCTGAGCCTTACGATGTTATCACCAAGACTGGAAACAGTGTTGTTATTGAATCACCAGACGGCATTCAATTAATGCGAAACACAACCCATGTAAAGAAGTATGAGGAGACATCATAGAACCCGGGGGAAACAACTTCAATGCTTGATGTTACTGATCCTGTGGAACCGGAAGCAGAATGAGAAAAACTGAGCAGCCCGGTTGTGACGAGACCGATTAGAGTCACAAAACCGCTGGAAAGATTTAAAGACTTTGTTATGACTAGAGTGTCATTATCAAGGACTATGTTTTGACTTAAGTGCCATTATCAGAAACTTTGTCGTGAGTTAATGTCATCATTGACAGTTACTGTTCATAAGGGGAGGATGAATGATTTTGTGGCTAGCCGTTTTATGAGTTTCAATTGTACTAGGCGTTAAGCGACTCTCCGTTGTGTTGACATCTTAGGATCGTTGTGGCTTCATATGAAAAAGGAAGGGATGTAGTGTTTGTAAGGTACACTTCATGTGCCATGATGTAGGTAAGCAGGTAACGTAAGAGAGGATTGAATCATTAAAGTAGCATGGCAGATGTATAGATTAGGTTCGTGTGTATCCATTTCCATCGACTTTAGAACGTGAGAGTAGTCAAGTTTATTTACACATCTTCCAGAATACAATTCTTTTATGGAATTACAGAAACATGTTTGTATAAAGCTGCAATAATGTTTAAACAATAACTTTGAAACTTTAGTAATACTAAATACTATAATTTTTTAGTTTCATCAGCACTATTTTGTGCTATTTTATTACTAAAGTAGTTTGTTGAGGTCATATTGCTTGCACTCTATAATTCTAACCATTATCTAGTGCTTGTTCATTGCAAAATCTACAAATAAATGTTAATTCTTGTTCGAAATTTGAGAAGGCCCAGTGAAACCATAGCATACAACATTCACACTGAACACTGTTTTCATCATCACATTCAATTTCATCTGGCTCAAGACAGGGTTTTTCACAGAGAGCACAATAATAATTAGGCCTAGTACCTAGCAACATAAGTCTTGAAAAAAATTGTTAGTTTTCGTATGATATCTTGCCACAGTTTTAAATCAAAATCAATAGTTTCAATATGAGCACCACTAAGGGGAGTCCAAACAACAAAAAAGGTTTTAGGACATCCTTTTAGGGCCATTTGTCCTTCTATCTGGTAATAATAACTGTGGTTTCTCTAGAGCATTATATTCCCATTCACTAATTCTAGATATGTTGTATTGTTCCAATGCTCATCTAATTTCACATCTGCAAGTGAGTATGGATATTTATACTCAATACAAGAATGACCACAGGCAATCGCAGTGAAAAATAACATCTGGGGTAGCTCCCACAAAAGTGTAAGTTTTAGAAATAAACAAGCCACAAGTCTAAAGCTTTGCATTCTTGTGTTTTTTGGATTCTTGTGCAAAGAATGATGCAGCAGCATGTCTCTCATGCTCTCTTCCCTATTATAATGGCAGGTATCTGTGGCAAATCGGAAGAATCTGTAATTCGCTCAAGAAAGGGTGTTGCTTTGCAATTTGGCTTTCTTTTTCTAAGAATTGTTTTTGTCTTTGTGTATACTTCATGAAAATGAGATGCAGTTATTTTACCTTTTCTTTGCTCTTTCCATTTACTGTAGTTAGCCTGATCCCTTGTGGCCTTTTCTAATTCTTTAATACCACTGTCATTGAAAGATAATTGTTCCAGAAATTGTCTCACTACTTCATCAGCATCTACACCATTGTTTTTAGAGGATATATCATCAGCTATACTTTGTAGTGATGGGGGTACATCATCAGAAGTTGGTGGTGCTACAAAATATGGATCACAGCATCAGGATTTCTGTTTCAAAGGGAAGCTAGAAACTTTTGCTTGCTTTCTTCAGTAACAACCCTCGAGGATTCTGGCCAAGGATGAAAGTTCTGTTTTTCCTTGCTGTTAATAGCATAACTTGGGTTTTCTTTAACTACCCTGTTGCTTGAAACACCATGTCCTTTAATTTCATGGGTTGGATGTCTTTCTTGCTAGTATTATTCCACACACATGCCTTATCTGTGCAGGAAGGGTCTGTGAAACCTTTCTGGTTGGCAAACTCTACTTTTTATAGAAGAGCTATGACATGATTACAGCACTTACTATATCCAGCTGTACAGCTACAATATGCCCCAATAATTTCACCAGCAGATTTAAAAATTATCCACACTTCATGAGATTCTTCGTGAATTCTTTGAGATGGAGTGACAGATGCAAACAGAACTTTGTCTTGTCCATGAATTGTTTTTGAGTATACAGTGTGCACAAAACCACTTTTAAAGTATGAATACGCTTTTCTGATCTTATATTGACCTATATAGTCAGTGTCGAAAGCTTTTTTTCCAAGTATAAATGAGAATATTTGACCGATGTTTGTATGTGGCCACTTTGTTACACAGTCCTCCCAATCGACCATTGATAACGGACCTTTTATACCGCATGTGTATAGTTCTCCATGTTCATTTTGTAGTGACTTGGCTTGGCTTTCAGCTGAATCAAGTATAGGTATATTATGTTCAAAAGCAACCAAAGCACGAGCAGCAAGATCCGAGTGTGTCCCTCTAGAAGGCAAACCTCACTGTTGAAGATAAAACTGCAATTCTCCACATGAAAGTTCTAAAAAATCCTCGAGGTGTGTGGCTATGATTGTGTTGCTGGGATGTTGACATTTCCACGACTTTTGAGCGAGATGGCAATAAAATATATACGGAGCTCAAAATGTAGCTGTGACTTCCATCTTGAACTGTAAGTATTCCGATCAAGCAAAAGAGTGTAGTTGAGCGTATCCGCTTTGGATTTGCTTGCCCTAATTACCCAGCATGCACTCAAGAGCGTGAACTGGTCTATTGTCAGGAGATGTTAAATTAAATCCAGGTCCCATCATGAGAAACACAATTCACAGCATTTCATTTGATAATGCAGATTTTGTATTGCACTACAGAATGCTTAGATATGGATTACGACCATTAGATGTTGGCGGAGGAGATTGTTTATTTAAATCTATATCTCATCAGTTATATGGTGATTCAAGTCATCATGCAGAAATCAGAGCTTTAGAAGTTACATATTTGATTGAAAATCCAGAACAATTTTTAGAAAGTGTAGAAGACACACCATGGGTTCAGTATTTATCTGATATGTCTAAGCAAGGCACATGGGCTGATAACATTATCATACAAGCAGTTGCTGATGCAATAAACTTAAAGATTCATATTATAAAATCAAGTCAAAATTTCCGGGAAATCACCTTAATTGAGCCTGCACAGAGCAATTTGTTACAAAACAGGAGATCAATATTCATAGGTCATATAGGAGAGATGCATTATGTTTTAACATGTTCAACTGACAGTAGCAATGATATCAATGACGATAGCAACAAAGTTAATGAAAAATTAGACAATCGTAGAAGCAAAAGGCAACAAAAAGCTGATTATATGAAACAATACAGAATATCTACTGCATCTCCTGAGAAAAGAGCCAAAATTAATGCAGGTCCAGAGAAAAAAGCTAAGCGTAATGAATATGAACGAAATCATAGAGCAAGTTTAGCATCTCCAGAGAACAAAGCTAAGCGTAATGAATATGAACAAAATCATAGCGCAACTTTAGCATCTCCTGAGAAAAAAGCCAAGCATAATGAATATGAACAAAATCGAAGATTATAAAAAACCAATATATCTGTTAAATGTTCAATTAATAAATTCCATGAAATAGTGAAAGAAGGTCCATTGTACATCTGTACTTGTTGTGACCAGTTGTGGTATAGACATAGTGTAGCTCATGCGGACAAACTTAGTCCAATACTGATATCACAGAATATTTATGTAATAAAGCCAGTTTTGATAACAAAGACTGGATTTGTAACACTTGTAAGAATCATTTGATAAAAAACAAGGTCCCACCATGTACTGTGGCCAATGGTATGTCTTTTCCAAAAAAGTCAGATTTCTTTGACTTGAATGAATTAGAATGTCGACTGCTTGCACCAAGGATTGCATTTCAAAAGCTTATGCAAGCTCCTAGAGGTAGACAGCTAAAAATATGGTAATATTGTTAATGTGCCGGCAGATGTGACTCATACAGTAAATATGTTACCAAGATTACAGAGCCACACAGCTACTATCAAAGTTAATTTCAAGAGAAAACTCCGTACAAAAGTTCTGCATTGTCTTTAAATATAAGACCACACAAGGTCATTCAAGCAGCAAAATGGTTAATGACAAATAGCAGGTTATATAAAGATGAAGGAATAGTATTTGGTAATGATTGGATCAACAAATATAATATTGAAATTGGACAAAGTAATAATGATGATAACACCAACAGTGTGGAATCACAATCAGATCAGAATAATGCCTCCACAGATCTCACTTATTTAAATATAGATGAATACGATGTATTGAATGAAGATGAAGTAGAATCAATTGCTGGTGTAAATGATACTATGTTAACTGCAACAAAATCTTTACAAGAAAATGAATGGCAAAATATTCTTAATGTTGCTCCGGCTGAAGGTAATAGACCATTGAGTGTTTTTGGGGATAAATATTGTGAAGAGTTAGCATATCCTGGAGTATTTCTTGGACAGCCTAGACCAGAAATGAAACAGGGACAAGTCAAAGTTACCTTTAGTGATATTTGTAAGTCAGAACTAAGATGATCAGATAGACGAGCTGCCATGTGCATTGAAAATATCTTCTATAAAACAAAGAAGACAGATTAATTCATCATGGTGAGGGCTATAAATTTCTAAATGCATTAGGAGGTTTGACCGCTCTAGTTTGACTGCTCTGGTCTTACCATCGAGCACTTTTATAGCAGATGAAGTCACTGGTAGTCATAGTAAGCTCTAATTTGTTGTGCACTCTGTTCAACTCATGGTCTATTACTATGGAGAAGATCAACCTGGGCTACTCAACCAAGAACATCCCAGTACCATCAAAAAACGAATAGTGAAAAGCTTCATTGAAAAGACGGAACACTTCATACGGCAAATGCGATGGAAGGCTTATTATTTTCTTAATCAATAAGAATCATCAACGAAGGATACATAAATCACGCGAGGTCACAGAAGACTTCACCCTCGCTGCAGCTGGTCTACATCTGCACTCATAATTTTAGGTCTTTATCATTTTAATAGTTTTTCCTATTTAGTAATACTAAACTTTTTCTTTTCTCATATATTGTAATCAGTCCTCTAGCGTGAACATTAATATTAATTATTTAAAAATTTACAAATAATTAGATATATGGTTTAACATTGTAAATAATTTGCTATCATTACTATTAAACGAAACGGGCCAATTTTTATCATAATTTTTGTAAATACTTTTAGTGATTATAGTGAATAAAGAAGAAAAATATTTCAAGCACTACATAAGCAAAATACTTAATTATGTTTTACCGGAATCTGAAGGTAAAAGCACATTGTTTATTGGGACGCAAAAGCAGGGGAAGATCGAGCAATAAATGCGCCATTGTTGTTCGACACAGACAATCAACTTAGTGATTCCAATTCCTCTCGTTCAGATAGTGAACTGGAATCGTCTGTAGGTGCTTTGAGGAAACGTGCTCTGTGTCGAGGATGAATTTTTTTTATTCCTTATGAAAATTCGGTTAGGATTGACAAATTTGGATCTTGCCATCAGATTTTGTTTGGCAGAGTCAACTGTAACAAATATCATTATAACGTGGTTAAGTCTATTGTTTTTGAGACTTGGTTCAGTCAGTGGATGTTACTGTGATCATCAGGGCTATGACCACTAGCGAAGGAAAGGTGTCAATGTTACAAACGATCATTAAAACCGGCCTTGACTCTGTTTAGCCAATGAAGCCTAACATTGTCCACTGAACAGAACCACCATGGATAAACTCAACTCTTAAGATCTTGATTCAGAAGAGACAACTGGCCTTACGCCGAGGAGACCAAGTGGAGTTTAATCATCTGAGAAATCTTGTTCACAGAGAATGTAAAAGATGCCGTGCGAAGTACTACAAGTGTAAAGTGCAATATCTAAAGGGATGTTCCCCATCTAAATGGTGGGGCGAAAGTAAGAAACTTAGTGTAATGGAGGGGTCTTTTGGGTCATGTGATAATGTCCTAAAGTCCGTCCATCACTTAGAAGGTGCTCATGGTCTATCAGCAGATGACCTTGCAAACCACATCAACACAGCTTTCTTGGCCCCAATGGAGGTTTTTTAACCGCTTACCCACAATCTATTTAGGGGAGAAGATTTTGTTTCTTCGAGCAGAACTATGAATGACGATTTCTCACTGATATCAGAGTCTTCTATCTTTAGAAAGTTATGCTTTATTAATCCACCTCAGGCACAAGGACCGGACGGTATCCCTGGATGGCTCCTAAGAGAGAATGCGGATCTTTTGGCACCATCCATTATGGATATCATGAATGCCTCCCTTCATGAAGACCATTTGCCCTTATCCTGGAAAGAGGCAGATATCGTCCCTGTCCCCAAACAAAGACCTATCCAAGAAATCAACAAGCATCTTTGCCCTATCTCTCTTACGCCGATCCTTTCCAAGATTGCATTGTTCATGAATTTGTGATACCTGCCGTGTTAAAGAAAATCCACAAAAGACAACTTGGGATAATACCTAAATCAAGCACTACGCACACACTTATTAGCATGATCCATAACTGGCACCTCGGCTCCAAAGGGAATTCAGCCGTGATTAGGGTGGCTCTATTTGGTTTCCGTAAGTTGTTCGCTCTTATTGATCACAATATCTTAGTGCATAAACTCCTTGATTACGATATTCCAAACCACATATTATGCTGGATTGTTGACTTTTTATCGAATAGAAGACAGAGAGTTAAACTGGCCCAGGATTGCTTCTCCGAATGGCGTTACATTCAAGCTGGCTTAGATATTATTTTATTTCTTATCTTATATGGGAATTTGACGCATGCTTGTGGATTTGTCATTCTGTAACAGTTTTTAATTCGTAAATTAACTAATTAGTTGTAATTTAGTAAGTTAGAAATTTTGCATTCGTAAACCTTATTGCAATTCAGCTCTTGGCTGCAAGTTTTTTAAGGTGAATAAACTATCTATCTATCAAAATCTGGCCTCATGTAGTTAATTTGAAGTATACAAAACAATTTTTTTACCATTTAAAGTACACTAAATGGCATTTAGTTGGATTTGAAATACTTCTTGTCTAGATAAGGAAAAGCATGGCAAAATTAAAAATTGGTAAGTTTAGGCATTCGCTCCGACGAAGGGCTAACGCTTGAAACGTCAGCTTTTGTAATCGTTACGATGGCCAACTTACCACTTCAACTTTATCCAAATTATTAAGCAATACAGTGTTGTTCCACTCTTGACTGTCAAAGAAAATCCTCTCTGCTGTAATGGTGTGTGATCCAGACAGATAAATAACAAAGTCACGCCACTGTCAACCACTCAGGGTCAGTCCGACTCCAGAAACTCACCTTTGTTTCATTGTTCATTTTACTATTCTAATTTATAAATATATATATTGCATCACATAATGAAAGAAAGCTTTTACATTGATGATCTCGTGACTGGTGATGCGGCAACAAAGGAAGCAGGTGAGCTGTGTAACAAGGCAAAGACAAGGCTCGTACTAAGGCGGTTTTAAATTGAGGAACTGGCTAACAAACAGCGACAAGTTGAAAGCAAAAATCTAGCAGGATGAATTGCGTGACAAGTCGAATGTAAACAAACAAATTGAAAGCGCGAATGATAGGGTTGCTGAAGGGAACAAGGAATGAGAAAGTTCTGGGGGTGTCATGGAATTGCAAAGAGGATTTATTCGTAATGGAACTTTCCGAACTTGTAAAAAGAGCCGATCGGTTACACATGACCAAACGAACCATTCTTAAGGTCATAGCAGGTTTGTATGATCCCCTACAAATAGTGAATCCCCTGCTTGTTAGCACGAAAACTCTTATCCAAGAGTTAGGCGCTAGAGAGGTAGGTTGGGATGAAGAGTTGGAGGGTGACGACAAAAGGCCCTGGCTTCGATAGATCAGTGATCTAAAGGGCGTAGAGGAGATTTGTGTACCACAAGGTGTCTTTAAGGTGCCCCAAGACCAAATTAAATGCTCTCTACACGGATTCGGTGATGCCACTAAGAGAGCATATTGTGCTTTCGTTTATCTTGTGTGTGAAGTCTTCGGAGCTTTCCAAGTCACTCTTCTGACATCAAAAACGGGAGTTTCACCACTGAAAGTGCAGATGACGCCAAGATTGGAATTAATATCAGGAAGGATATTGGCTAAGCTCGTAGAGACCGTGATAACCACATTGAAAGGAGAAGTTGAATTAACAGAAACTCGCCTGTGGCTGGATAGTAAAACTGCTCTTTGGTGGATTAATAATAAAGGCGACTGGAAACAGTTCGTCAGACAGCGAGTGAACGAGATCCTCTGAATGATGCGAAAGGAGGATTGGGCTGCTGTATGGGTTGCTGTTGTACATCGGGCACTATAGAATCCACCAAATTAGCTAGCTGTTTCAACGGCTCCTCTATTGTCATCTCAGGGTTTGGGATTTTTTAGGGATGCATCACTGTAACAGGTTCCTCTTGCTTCACAGGATTATCTTGGGCATAGCACGCATCTACACTTTTCCTCCACCTTTCTTTCCATGCCTCTTCCTCTATCTGTGCAGGGGT